ATGAGATTATGAAGCATGAAGGGCCTGTGGTGTGAACTGAACCGTCTCTACCTACACTGGCTTCAGAAAGTCTTCAGACCCCCTTTCACTTGTCTCTACGCTTTATTGCATCATACATTTAAAAGTAAATGGATAAAAAGCGCCATTGTCATCCACCAGTCTGAACTCGATCACCTGTGATGACAATCTGAAAACATGCTGGAAACTTTTTACAAATGTATTAAATATGCAGAGAGGTCTTTGAAGAAAACCTGCTCCAGAGTCTTTAATAAGTTTGCAATAATTTCTAAAAAAAACAGCCCACAGGTCGTCCGTGCAGCAGGTTATGACCCATAGTTACGTTTTGTTGCTAGGCGACATCTAGTGGTCGTAGTAGTTAGTGTCGGTGACGTAGTACAAAGAGAGACAGAGTCCACGTCAGGAGGAGGTTGTGGTGGATGGTCGATTCCCACGTGTAACCAGCAGTTTATGTTCTTCTTATAATCTATGACTAGTTAACCACGTTGTTATTATTGTAACCATGACAACGAAGATCATCTAATGTTGAGGAAGCACTTATTTTAAGCCGAATCTCGATCTTTTTTCAGGAGACACTCGTATGGCTCGTATCAGAGGGTTGAACCTGCTTGAAATATGGTAGTTGCTCGTTTAAAGTTCAGCATGACAGAATTACAATATGTGTCAGCGTGGTGCGGTTTCCACGCGCCCCAAATAGAAAAAGAAAAGAATGAAGGCAGCTTTAAAGAAGCGTCCTGATCGTTCCTCAGTTATTAATCTGAATGTTTTAGCGTGGGCTGAAAGTACGAGTTACAAAATCCACAAGAGAGAGAGAGGTTGTGCAAAGTGCACTTGCAGAAGATCATCAACCTTATTACGGAATAAGTCACGGGCCATTAACAGTGCATCACCCCTGCACATGTTGTAGATACAAAAGAGCTCAGTCGAGTGAAAGTAAAGGCTGGAACAAAAAGCCTGAATTTTGTAGAGTGATACAAACGCTTGTGTTTTCTTCCCTCAGCAGCTGAACACTGTGTAATTGTCACTGAGGAGATCACCCCATGTCTTTTTTATGCTTGACAGACTCAATTGAACGCCCGCCTATTTGTGTGTGCTGTGATTCATGCTAATTTCTGATATGGCAGTAATTTAATGCAGGAAGCAAAAAAAAAAAAAAAAAAAACTATTTGACTTCCCCCATAATTAATTAATGGAAGAATCCTGTTGCAATTACATCTTCATAATGACTAAAAGAATATTAGATACATGCCCTTTCAAATTAATTTGTCAGCATGTCAATGGTTTATAATTATCTAAGGAACAGAATGAGCCGGCCCATCCACCGCTCAACATTTAGCTCAATATCCCGACACCGCTGTGGAAATGCAGGAGTCAGAAGGAGGATTACAATCATTGTTTTCAATCAAGTGATGAGATGAAGCATGAAGCTCTTAAATTCACTTTACATCATCTACATCACTTGTTTTGTGTTCTCATTAAGGCTCTCAGGGGGAAGGGGGGGGTTGAAACTGAGATATTGACACCAGTAATTTAAAAAATCAAGCAGCCAATCGCTGCTACTCCGGAGTCAACGTGTTCCCAACAGGGTCCTCTTATAGTATTAAACACACGGCTCAGGTTGTAGAACGATTGTGGTCGTGGCTAAAAGAAACAACGCTGACCCTCTGTTTGAAACTTCAAACAAAACACCAGTCTCACAAGTTAAAAGTTAAAACGCTTTTTCGACCCGACTTCCTCCCTACGTTGACTTTGTGGCGTAATAACTTCCTCCTTCGCTCACGTCATTATTTCTACAGCCTCTGACACTTGAACGTAAACGTGTGATTCTGGGACTCGACCACAAGAGGTCGCTAACACTAACAAACTTAACAACAATTTATTTTAATGGAGGGAAATTTCACTTTTGGAAAAATAGAAAAACTAACTTCTCTGGGTCTCTCACTTAAATTATACTTTGAGATTTATTGTGGCTGCCTTCATACAAGCTGTGCACTGGCTTCCTGATAAGAAGAATATTGGCTTGGGATGTGGTTAGGATCTCCGGGAGGATGTTGTATGCGTGTCGGTAGTAACATATTGCATGTTCAACCACGAATACAATCAAATATCTGTGGCACTTGTCTGTCATTCTCCTCCGCCGCCGCCGTCGCCGCCACCGCCGCCTGGCCCCTGCTTTCCCTTTTATTGCCTGGGAACAATAAGTGGCACCAGCAACTCAACGTGATGAATCCTATCTCACCCAACACATGCGCTCCTTTACCGCTCAAGCTATTGCAATCCACTGTATTGATCAATCACCTTTGTTTCAGCATTTCAGACAAAGAGCCAGGCAGGGGGAAGGCAGCTGCTTCGGGAGGGATTTGAATGGTGAAGCAAAAAATGGAGAATTTCCGTGGCGGTGTACATCCGTGGACAGTCTTAGCTCGAGCTGCCGCAGCTTTAACTTGCCTGCGGTCTAACCAATGGGTCAGTGCAAAGGCACATATCAAGGAAGAGGAGCCGAACAGATTACCGCTTTTAAAGCTTCTCTTTAAGCTCTAAAACCAATCCAAACTATCCTTTATAATTATGTCTCGGGAGTTTTTGAAACTTCCCAAGAGCACTGCGAGTACTGGGCTGCGCTGTAAGTCTCTGTAACTTCAGCAGGGTTGGGGATAGTTACTGTATATGGGCCACATGCAGTGTGTGTGTGTGTGTGTGTGTGTGTGTGTCATTTATAGGCTTTTTTTTCTGCTGATCCAGCAAGAGGATCCAGCAGGGACATTCAGAGGACGGTGTCCCAGAGGAGAGGAGCGAATAAACCAATATGCAAAAGAATAACGACACAAAATACGAACAAGCAGCATCACCACACTCATCAATACATCTGCCAGTGTTGTCCTTCTGTTAAAGATGTCATTAATGGGCGTTATCACAGTCTTTCAGACTGAACATTTCGTGTTTCTACGCTGATGGTCATTCACTTCCTGCTGAACGATTACAGCCTGATGTTTTTGTTCTTTTAAATGGACACTGCATCAGGAATATTTACGATTAATTCAGGGCTTCAGCTAAAAGATCAAATACTGAGCATTACCTGAGATGAATTGGGAGATGCTTTATTTTGTTTCATTCTCGAGGCGGACGGGGGGTTTGGGGTTTGGTCAACACGTCTCGTTAATCAAAACGGACAATGTGCGCTTTGAAGCCAGATTCAGAGCAGCACTACCTAGACGTGTTTGACGCAGTAATTGAGGTCTCCGATCGCCCTGAGATCTTCCTGGACTGATGTTATGACGTGAATCCCACAGAGATAATTTCAGGTATCCAAACAAGCGTGTTCTCTGGGTGTGTTTGCTTTATATAAGATACCCAAATACAAAGCACCGTGTGTGATTTTTACTTTTCGTTTTATTTTGACAGTTGATGACAGTTTTCCATTTGTTGTGTCACTTCCACCCTATCCTAAATGTGTGCTTTGTGAGTCAGTTGACACTGATGCTATTAAAACCTGTTCTGAAGAAGTATGAACTGCGACTCGACCAAATTTCACGCCAATGAAATGAAGCCCAACAAAGCCACATCCATTTGAGTCGTACCAGGTGGACTCTCCATTTTGCCATTTGAAGAGCAAAGTGCACCAAAGAGCTTTTCTGCATCAATCTGACTGTAAAATACATTGATTTCCATTAGGAGCGGCTCTCTGCAAATAAAACATCACATCACATATTTAACTTCAGCCACAAAATAAAGTATTTTCATTGTAAAACAACCACAGAAACAGGCCACTTTGCTTCACAGCCCAGCACTGATGCCAGGGGCCTAACATGTGACCACCCGTTGGAAATGTCTCACCCTGAGCTCCCACAGCGTTTGAGGTTAATTCGGGTTTTTACTCTTGATAATATGAAGGCTGCCATCATGAATAAATATATACAATGTTATCCAGTTCTTCAGAAATTCGTTTTCTCAGCGTTCTCAATCATTGTTTTCACAAGAAATATTTTTACTGCCGTTTAATGTCCTGGTGTTAAACCATGTTAAAAGGAGCCTGGTATCAAAATGTTCATGATTCAGGATTTTTTAGCTGAAGCTTTTGTTTTGCTGCTTATTCACAAAACCATTTAACGACTCAGGAGTCTTTTGCATTCACAGTCACACACTTGCATTCGAAAGCGGTCTTGTTTTTTTTTTATGTGTGTGGTATGCACAGCATTCAGGACCTGCAGTCACATACTCTGTAATAATAAAGTCCTGTTGCTCCGTCCCACACAGTTGATCCTGCTGAGCCTCCTCACCAATTACATGGCTCTGAGCCTGGAGCCTCCCGCTCGCACTTCACAGAGGTTCTGACTTTAAACAATGTGTCTGTCTGTTCTGGGAAATGCCAAACCTCATCTATCTGTGCTACCTGATGTCCTTTTCAAACCAAACTCAAACACCTGAGCGAGTTCTTTGTTCTGCAAGTCCTGCAGAGAAGAACCGTGAGTTCAGCATTGGATCTATACGGGAGAAGAGGGTGTACTTGCCAAGTAAATCTATATATTTTTCATCACGGTCTGTTTTGTGGTACGGTTTGTTGCATTTGTTTATTCATCCATCCATTTACTGCCGCTGAGCCGGAGTCGGGTCGTGGTGGGAGCAGGCCGAGCAAAGTAGTCCAGACCTCCCTCTCCCCAGCAACGCTCGCCAGTTCCTCCTCACAGACCCCAGAGACCACTCCCATCAGGATTGAAATGTTTCATCACAGGATAAAGTTAGGATAAAGTGAGGATTCAGGCCTGTACCGTTCTATCTCTGAGACAGAGATGTCTCCATATGTGATTATAACGGACACTTGACGCCAATTCCAAAGAAGCATTTTCCTTGACCGCTGCATCTAAATCTAACGCCATGCTTTGCACCTGAGCCACTGTAGCCTACGCTTCAACACCAGTCAATAAAATAAGTTGTTCTTTCTGAAAGTCAGAAAAATGTCAAAGTGGAGTGTGTTTCAGACTTACATTGGTATCTGAGCAGGACCGATCCAGCCTGAGACCTCGGGCTGTGGAGGCGGATGGAGATCTGGTTGCTGTGGCTTCGTACGACCAGCCCCCTCATCAGGATGGACTCGTTGGCCAGCATGGTGTTCTCCCCGTGGCCCACATCTTCAAACACCACCTTGTCGCCCTCAGATAGATTCACATTCATCACCTGACAGGAAACAAAGTAAAAGTTCGATCATTTATCCATCATATAAAAAGAAAAAACACAACAACCCAAGATTCTGCAGTGTGGAGTCTCTCGGGAGCTGAAGCAGGATCCCAACAGAGACTCCACAGGAGCTGAGGATCCCGTTCTACACACTTCTTGGCAGCAGTTTCTTTTTGGTTTCTTCTTCAGACGGAAACGCCATTTGCGCTGCGCCATCGCTCGGATCAACGCACTGTTCTGGGGGGGAGTCCAGCGGACTACGAAGTGGGAGGCTTTTCAAAGCGCAGTGGTGCCGTTTTCGCATTTTGTCTGAAAGCCCCGAAACAGTTGATAAAGTCAGTGATCAATATCTTTGCAGGTTATTTTCACTTCTGATTTGAAGTCATTGACAGTTCTGTTGTTGCTCCGCCATGTGCAGGATTTGGCGAGCTATTAGTTGCTGAGGAAGACTGTTAGACACGATTAAAATCATGGGGAGAAGGAATAAAAATATGTCTAGACACTGTGTAAATTTATTGGCCCATGAATTAAATAGTTTGATTCTGATTCACTAAGGCTTGTGCAAGGGATTAACCAAAAGTGACCACATCAGAGAGTCATGTTGTTTACAAATCACATAAAATGAGTAGAAAGCTGCTGCAGACATGCATATGTAAATCATATGTAAATTTTGACTATTTACATAATATGAATTTGCAGTCAGGGCCATTCACATCAAAAATGCACCCAACTCGCTAACACTTAGCAGCAGCAGTTCCCCACATTACTCGGGATAATTTTAAAAGCGGCGTAAAGGCATTGCAGACTTTATCCATTCAGAGTGGCAGCCATTACTGTCGCCAACCGTGCGCCGTCATCAGCCGGTGACACAGCAAAGAGAGAGTTTTCCAATTTCAGATCAGATAATGAAATGCTCCTCTTAAGAAAAGAGCTTCGGGGCACAGGAGTGCCAGCCGTCATGGATTAATTTTACATCTGAAGCTGTTTGCACTTACAACTTGTGATGAAGGACTTAGTAGTCGCACAGTTCAAGGGCTTGTTTGTACTTAAACTTGCATGGATTTTTTTTTTTTAGTGGGAAAAAAAGGAGAAAAATAAGCACTCTGGTAAAGTGGAGAATTTTGACCTGAGAGACTCAGTAGGTGACTGTGACCTCTGTGTTTCCAGCCCCGTCTGTGACAAGTGTATTTTATCATTAACACATCAGCGTGTATCATCAGAGCCGGTGTGTGAAGTCTGCTATGCACAACACTTTGACACAAATCACAAGTAAGAAATATGGAAAAAGCCAAAAGGATGATGTGGAGCTCAGTGATTACACAGCAGATAGTCCCGATAATTGTCAGCTTGTCTTCTTCACTGACAGCACATCTGCCCAGAAATGTTGCTTTTATCAGCTTTTATCACAGCAGGCATGTCTTCATTCAGGCGTTAAAAGGAAAGAGGCGTCTTGTCTTCACATGGTCCTCCACAGATCATATCAATGGCGTCCTATCTCACCGAGCCAGGAGATTAATCCACGGCTGAGCCTCTACTGACATTACATTATGTGAATATCCAAACCAGAAAGTCAGACTGGGATGAATATAGAAGTGTTAAAAGTAGAATTAAAGGTCCCATACTGTCTAAAGGTCTCTGTCCGTGTGTAGTTTGATTATAGATCAGGTTTAGCTTCTATATTAATACTGTGAAAGTATCAAAGCCTCAGTCCACAGAGAAATGCACACAGCCTGTATTCAGAAACTGAGCCTTAAAACCAGCCGTCAGGACTTCTGGAACTTTGTGATGTCACAACAAAGCAGTCACTAAGCCCCGCCCACCTGGACCCACCATCCAAACCTTGCAGGATTTGGTTTCTCTAAATAATTTTACCTGAAATATGCCATATTTTTTTTTATTGGATCACTCAGAAAACAGTCAGCCAATCAGAAGAGAGGCTCAGAGCCTCCTCTCTTCTGATTGGCTGACTGACCTGTTGTTACTAGAGCTCCAGAGAGAAGCCTGAGAGAGGAGATGTAGAACTACACTGAGATGATTTAGTTTGAAAGCTCCTGATTCAGTCACAACTACCAGACAGCAGTGAATGCAACATGGACCAAAGGTAACACCATCAATTTGTTTAATCACGTGGAACATTGCTGAATATGAAGAATTCATGGCTGAAAAAAAACAGAGAGAGAGGCCGAGGTAATCGAGGTAGAAGTTTGAAATACTCATGATGTTGATTTGATGTTGGCTTTTCCTCCAGCACTAAGACTTCATGTAAAATACTGTCTGTGTGTTACATTTAATTAATAGTATTCACGACAGCTACAACAGCTGGTGTCAAAACTGTTATTTCAGGAATCAAAAGAAGTCGTTATTTTACAAAACAGTGGAACAGCTGATGTCTGCACAGAACCAGGGATGTGTTATTCAGAGGAGAGAGCTGAGTCTGACAGGGAAGCTTTTACCAGTCAGTCTACATTAATGTTGTTTCATGAGTTTTGGTTCAAGACTGATTGAGTGAAATTGTGCAGAGAAGCTTCCACAAACAATTTCTCCTGCAGGATCTGGAGTCAGAGACGATGAAGATATTCAGTCGACCAGGGAAGATGACTCAACCTCGATCTGGCCCTTGGCGTATACAAGACGCAGAGTAAGACAGCTCACAGCCACTTTAATATTAAGTATGTTAGCTCATTGTTTTATGGGGAATTAATACAATTTTGTAAGTAAAAGAACGTCCTCTTATCCAAACCTCATCCTCAAAAAACTTTAACTACGACATAAAAAAACTCTGAACCTTTGAAAACTAAGTTGTTGATTTAGGAAGATCAAGATGTCAACTGCGACCACAGCACAGTGACCTTTAGCTGCAGAGGCTGTGTGTGATCTTTAAAGTCCAGATGTGCAGAAACACCTCTGTCTAATAACTCTACAAAAAGCTCAGTTTTATTTAGTGAATGTAGGTTTGTTCATAACGCGGTTTAGTTACAAGAGGAAAAGATCTATTGTCTTCGTCATTGTTCCGTTCAGCTGAATCAGACTGAGGCTGATCTGCTGCTGCATTTAAACCAACAACTGACTGTCGATTGCTTCGCTTTATTTGCTTCCTTTCTATAAATGAGATGAGATGAATCCGTTTCTCACCTCGTCTTCTCTGCTTTCGATCGACGTGTTTTTTACACTCAGCATTTCACACAGTTGTAGAAAACTTTTTTCAAATGTGGACAATTCAACGAGCCGCAGATTCACTCAGTCAAGTCACAGCTGATAAAAATAAAGTGCACTGATACCTGACGCTGTTTTGACCCCCCCCCCCCAGGTTTACTGGACGTGTGAGGGGTGGACGCTCCGCTGATTACAGCTGTTTTAGGTCAGAATCAAAAGTCTTAGATTCAAACTGTCGCTTAGGTCACAGGTGAGAACTGAGTCGACTCCAACCACTGATGAAGACCATTAGTTGGTTGAAAGCACCTTAAATTGAGATTATTATCTAGCTAAATGATTTATTATTCACATGTAGTCATCCTCACTTCACAAACTGTGAGTCAGGGACTGTGTTACTGTGGGTTTAAAATATAAAATGAGGGAGGAATTGATGTTATCACCCACTTATAAACCACTTACATAACACACTGTACGTACAGTCCATTATTCAATTACAGTGCACTTGTTTAAAGACAAACTTTACTTTCAGCCCACGTACAGTAGGAGCCTGAACGCATCATGACTGACTCACACCGTACTGCGCTGGCTTGTGTATAACAAGTCATAATGTGTTGTTAATGAAGTCGCAGACACTGCATCAGGATAATAGTGAATAGCCGAACAAAGGGCATCACCAAGTAATCACATTATGCCTTCAGCTCAGGGATAATAAAACACTTGAGGGAACATTGGGAGACGTAATCCAATTTGCCCTGGCACCGGTCCAGCCTGTGTATGGCTGTACCTCACAAACATAATCATGTGGGGTGTGTCCCCCCCCCCCCCCATCTGGAGGAAAGAGTTATTGTTCTGACAACATAATGGATTGCAATGCACTTTGAAATCTGAATCAGTGGTAGTGGTAGTAAGTTGCTGCTTGAGATATCTGAGGAGAGCTGCGGCGGCGGCTGCAGTGGCGGCGGCGGGGCTGGTTTTTGTTGTGTTGAGATCACAGCGTCATTATTGAACTGATCTCTGTTGACGTGTCTGCCCATACTACACAGTCCTTAACTTGTCTTCTTCTGCATTTGTCAATTCCACTTTCTACAGTTCATTAGCTTCGCCCCTGAAGCAGAAGCAACCGGGACAAAAGCGTGTGAAACACTCACACATACAAGCTAATTGGCTGTTTTTGAGACGCTGAACCAAAGAATATTCTCACGAAGAAGAAGAAGAGCAAACAAGAGCACAGCCACACCAGCAGCGCTTTGAGTTAACTGGTAGTGTCAACATGCAAACAGCTGATGTTCAGCAGGTGTAATGTTGAACATACATATTCACCAGCTTAGTGCGGGGTGTTTGCTGATGAGCACCAAACACAAAGTGCAGCTGAGGCTGATGGGAATTTCATTAGTCTCGCAGGTATTCGCTCAAAACAACCGAACGGAAATTTTGCCCTGATGATGGCGCTGGATGAAGAGTCATCTCCGCGGGGATCAATAATGTTTGTTGTTTGTTGTAGAGATTTTACGCAAAATCAAAAATATCAAGCGGCTGTTGAGAAACCAGCTGCCACTATAAGAAAAGTCAATGCATCGTGTCAACGTGATTTATCCTGTAGAAATGATGAACGTACAGAACTGGAATCAGCTCCTCGTGGTCGTCTGCCTCCGCCACTCAGACTAGTTTCAGGTTACATTCCTGTTTATCCAGAGTCGTAGAAAATATTAACCATCTGTATGAAATCGTAATTGCTACGTGACATCTTGACCTTTGACCTCTAAAATCTAATCAGTTTTTCTTTGAGTCCCGGTGAAGGGATTTCCTCGAAGAGTTCCTGAGACATTGCATTTCCAAGGCCAAAACTG